TCTCCATCGTGAATTGGGAGTGCCGCGATTCCTCTTGAAATACTGGTGAGTGTATTTTCCAGCATCTAGCAGGTGGTCTTGTGGCTGACCGAGCAGACAGCAAATAGTTTTCATTACGTCGTATGTTGATCTTCCTAAGAAGATGTTCTGGCAAAAAAACAGACATGCCAAGACACATCCCAGTGACCACATGTCAATGGCTTCAGATATGGGGAGGCCCAAGGACACTTCTGGTGCTCGGTATGCACAAGGTTGTACAATCATTCCTTCCCATACTTCGGAGGCTGTCATGGCCAAACCAAAGTCAATTAATTTCACTCTGAAGGGCTCATCTTGGTGGTTGACGAGCATAACGTTGTCAACTTTTAGGTCTGCATGAAGGAGACCGATACCCTTCAAGGCGTTGAGTGCTACAAGTAACTGATGAGTTATAGGACGGATTTCATTAAGAGTCAATCGTTTCTTTCTCTGTATCAAGAAATCAAAAAGATTCCTGTCTAAACACTCAAAAGCGATGCAAGACTTGTCATCGTCTATGAAACTGTCCATGAATCTCACCAAGTTGTTTCTCTCTGGGTCAAGTGTCCTGAGCTTTTTCAGCATTTCTACTTCGTCGTCGTAATCATTGTCGTCTTTGAGGATCTTTATGGCCGTATTCTCATTTGTATTCATATTGACACACTTCGCTACTTTGCCAAAAGTTCCTTCTCCAATAAACTCCAATACTTTGTATCGTACAGACTTGTTGCAGAGTATGAAAAGCTCTTTTTCCTGCAATGGTTTCGGTGAGGTTGGAGTTTCATAGTCAGATTCCATGCAGGATGATTCCTCAGTCCTGGTGTTGTCCATATTTGTGAAAACCTCACCTGACTTTGTGCAGATGAGTCATTGTACTGGGGGTAAAACGTTTTTTCAAAATTAGACAGATGCTCACAACTTCAGCTCTCAGGAGCTCTGCAGTGGCCCCTTCTGTTATGCTCTGAGTTATGGAATGCCTCCTATTTCTAAAGAAGACTGATGAGATCACATGACAGGCATGTAACCATAGCAACCAATTTACGTCATCAAATGGTTTCTATGGTTACATTCCTGCAAAATACGTCATCATTTTCTCCAGTGTCTTGCGTTTGTCTGTGCCACAAATTGTCGGAAATGAACCATGACGTAGGCGGAGAGCTGGCGGAGGTGCGAATGGCCCGAATTAGCATATGAATGCAGCGAAACCGCGGGTGGCCGAGCCGAGCGGGCTTGAATATCCTTACTCCTTATTGGATGAAACCACAACCCACCAACAAATAAAATCACTCGTGATTGGCAGCAAAACCACACCTGGGCAGACCAGGCTTGAGTTTCCTTGTTCATGATTGGATGAAACCACAACTTTCAATCACTCGTGATTGGTTGGCAGATCTGTCGCTGTTGGTCACCCGCCTTATTTTATTTATATATATATTATATCATATTATGCTGTATATTCATTTCATTGTTATCCTATGTAGGCTACTACACTATTATTAGGATACCAACCAGGACATCAATGAATTTATAGAGAAAATGAACATTTGACACATGTTTATGCAAAGAGAGCTTTATTAACAACACACAAACAGCAACTACATACAAAGTGAGGATCTGCCCACACTTGGGTAACGGCGGTTTAAAAACTACAGCTCAGTAAACTGTCCGTTTGCCTCCTCGGGGTCGTTGACCGTCACTGGCGCCGTGTTTTCCGAGGCAGGTCTGTTGTGCAGGCGGCTCGTGTGCGTGTGGCGACCGTACGATCCACCCGAGACGCCGCCAACAACGCCGTCCCCTCCGCCCGACGCGAGCTCCACGGTGGCGGATTTCCACCTCGTCATCAGCCAGCTCACTTTGTCTCGATTCCAGCAGCTGTAAAAACAACAATGAATCAGTACTGTGCGATGCGTACGGACACAACACATCGATCAATGCACCTGAAACAAGTCAGCAAATAAAACTCTGACCCGCTTTCTTCTCGCTCGACTCCGCGCTGAATCCTTCGCAGCTTCCTTCGCAATGAGTGTTTTCCGCCTGAACCTGAAGCTCCTGCGTCCCGTCTCACAATACGTCTCACAGGCGGCTGGAAAACAATTAAATGTGTGGTATGAATACAAAAAAAACCAAACGCAAGTCGCAGTAACATTTAACAAGGAAGGAGAAACAGTGTCACTTACACACAAAGAAAACGCACTTTAATAAAGCGGGTTCTGCTCACTTGTAAGGCTACTAGGCTACTCTTAGCTTAGCTTGAGGCTACGCTACTCTTAGCTTAGCCTGCAGTCATCGAGCGTATTCTTACCGCTATCGTGGGATCGTGCGCCCGTCTCCTCTCCTTTGAGTCGGTTCCTCTCCTCCATGGACACAAACCCGCAGAGTCCCGAACGCTCCAGTGGAGCGAACCGCTCGTTGATATCGGCGGTTTGTTGTTGGAGTTGACGAGACGATCCACTGAGAGCTTTCAGCTGCTTCTTCTGTCTGTCTGCGGACCGGCCGAAAGTTGGTGACCGCGGAGAGGAGTTGAAGGCGAGTTGAACGCGAGACGTCGTCCCGCCATTATTCACGAAGCAGCAAAAACCAAACAAAGGAACTGGAGATGCAGTTCTTCTGAATGTAGTAACACGCTCGTCTCGCAAGTACTGCTGTCTGAGTCGTGCCTATGACCTCACACGTGATTGGACGAGGAGTCTAAGGGTCCTCCAATCACATACGAGGTTATTGTTATACGGAAGGACCAGTATTTTAGGAAGACAAATGGTTGCGACTTTGAAACAGCTGATATGCTTCATGTAAAGCAGTGTTTTGGTGTCAGCAGAACGACTTTCCCTAGAAACTGTACAGTGGTGCCTCTTCTCCATTCCACCAGACACTCCTGAGTCTGACAGACATGCAATGTTGACAATGTATCATCACATGTACCCTTGTGTCACTGAGGTGGAATGTTTTGCCGTGACTTGTAAACGGGTAACATATATGAATGTAACTTACTCAGTCGATAGATGCAGAGCATAAAGGTCAGCATGTGTTCATGCTAAGTGGTGTGGAAACACAACAGTTTTGAGGAACCCGTCCTTCTAGCAGAACTACGACCAGCCATTATAAAGCAGTTTATAGTTGTTAATGTTGTGTCAAAGGGTACGGCATTTAAACATGTTCTTGCACAAGTTTCCTGGCTTCATCTCCACCCGGACAGACATTTTTATGGAAAGCCAATAGAAGTTTGGGGCTTGCAGGGAACAGACACGTCATACAGCATCATTTCTGCCAGTTGAGCGCATTGCTAGAAGATGTGTGGTTAATACATCCTCTGTGCATTTAAGTAAGACCAAAGCAAAGGTCACTGTAGTCCTGCCACTATGCACTGTAGTTGAGCTCTAGCAGACTGAGATCTCTGCAGACCCCTCATGCTGATTCAAATGTTGTTTGCATGGAATGCTCATTTTACCTTGATTAAAACTCATTTTTTAAAGAAGTGTTTTTGTGTATCTTTTTTACATAACATTTGCCTTTGCTAATGGCGTACACAGTAATCTAGCATATTTTAATTAAATAAATCAATTCAAGCTCAAATGTAAGAGTCTATAATCAGGCTACTGAGCCTGATCTATTTGTACCAGACATTTTCTTACCTTTAAAAAAAATGTCACCTGGGCTAAAACTCCCTCTGCGACCCTGATTTGCATTTGTATAGCTCACAGCATTTTCATTTACATGTCAAAGCCTCCCCTAGAATTAGGAGGAGGGGGGTCATGGGGGCACAAGGGAGGCCCACGTCAATTTATGACAATTTAACAGCCGCAAACCTGAAATTCCACGACAATTTATAGTGCGGCATACTGCCGAAAATCCCACTTTTCATGCAGTGGCAAGATCAAAGAGTGATGACACTATGTCGGATGTCATCAAATGGTTTCTATGGTTACATGCCTGCAAAATAAATGCTTTATTTTCTCCACTGTATCACACACAAAAAACTATACTTTAATATCAGGAATCAACAAAAATATCCCAGACCGCTATGCTATGAACACAATTTACTTATCTTTTTCTTTTAAACGCGTGCATTAATATTTTTTGAAAAATATTGATGAAAAGCAACAGTGTCGATGCACGGGGCAATAAAGTCTATGATAAATAAATAAACAAACCAACAACTTCCACACACAAAGACGCGACTCTCTAGGTCGTCTTCAACAAAACTCTCTACTCCACCTGTTGTTCTGGCGGTGAATTGCTCTGCAACACACGCAAGACTTTTAGAACCATGAATTGAAAGGAGTGCGTCGACGCAGAAGCATGCGCCAGCCTTAAGTTATGCATCTTTAAATTTGGGCGCTTTTGTACCGATGACAAAAGAAGCTCAACCCTTTGGCCGTGCCGAGTGCAGCGGTAAATGTGCTTACAGAAGACGCTGCGTGAGGCGCTATGAATATTTCAGTGTGTGTGGGCAGGTTACCTGTATGGGAGTGCGGCTACATAAAGTGAGAGCGCATCAGCGTCTGTGCGCGCGGGGGGCAGGTGGGGGGGGTTGTTGTGGCAGGGTCAAGTGTGTTGTTAAACGTGTGAGTGTGTCATAGTGGCGAGGACGAGTGGGTTTGGCTTAATTGGGTTGGTGTCAAGGGATCTGTTCTCCCTGTCATTCCAAAGTGCTGTGTGTGTGTGTGTGTGTGTGTGTGTGTGTGTGTGTATGTGTGAGCCCTCAGAGGGCGCGGTGAAGGCATCTCTACACACTCCACAAACTTTCTTTACATTATTTTATCTTTCGCATGCACAAACAAGCGCTCCCTCTGTTCTTTTTATCTATAATACCTATTTGCAAAGGATCTTATCTGCATGGTTCTATACAGAGCATATACCTGTGTGTGTGTCTGTGTGTGTGCATAGCTCAGATGTTGTGCTTCATGTAGACATTTCAAGTGAACTCTTGCACTAACTACAGGAGGGTGAGAGTCTCTGTTTGTTCCCACAAAAAGGACCACTACCTTTTCCCCATTGGCGCTGCCCAGCACGTAGCAGCCCATGATGTGAATGAGGTTGGGCTTTGGGTTCAGCTTGCTCATCAGCCTGCCGAGCCGCCGCCAGAACCTGAGCGCAGGGGAGAGAAGGACACGAGGGGGGAAAGGAGGACAGACGGGCAGGTTGGTAGGAGGGTTAAGGGTCGGAACGGAACGATTCGACGACAGTAAGCGGACAAAGGTCGCACTTCTTGGCATATTGTTATTGCAATTATTTAAATGTATAATCCAAGCGTGAAAGGGTGAAACTGAAGATGGAGATATAAAAAAAAAACCCTGCTAGATTTATGGTTACAACCAGAATGAAGTCTTACTGGATCATGTCGTCTTCCTTCTCCACCTTCGCAAATGTGGCCACTTTGTTCTTCAGCAGGTACAGATGTCCAGGTCCTCCCTGAGGAAAGGTGCTTGTGTTATCATGGATTCTGTTAAGGGTAAAAGTCCTTCATTTTCTGTAGGATTTAAGGTTTTGGTCAAAATAGTTTGAGCCCTTTTGATAAGAGACCAACATGAGAAATGTCAGTAAATGTGGATAGGTGCTCTTTAATATTCACTCCAGCGAGGATTCAGAATGCTTCAGATGCTCAAACACAGTCAGAGAAGAGAAAACATATATAGTTTATAGGGATTCTACCGCGACATCTTTACTTTACTTATAACGTCCATCTGAATATAGTATTGACTTTATATAAAGATGTGCAACGTTACAGTTCGCCAAAAAGTGAAGACGAAGCCTCTCTTATCGCCCCGTGGTAGCTGGTAGTTGTCTATCTCATCAAGACAGCAGGAGATGTGTTACTTTAAGCTGCCAAATGCAAATATCTTTCGCTTAAATTGATTTTATTGATATCTTGAGAAGCTGGTATCAGTTTTTTGCTGAATTAATTAGTTAGAAATAAGTCTTCTGCCACATTGCAAGCAAACTCTAATGTAGAGCACAAGTCAATGATTTCACAATATTGCCCCGTCTCCCTTGTCACTCACCTGACAGAAAATGAGCATGTTCCAGATCTTACAGCCTTTCCTGTAGGCCGCCAGCTTCTTCTCGATCTCCTCTGGACGCAGAATGGGAGAGAAAGAGAGAGGGAGAAAGGTGTCACTTTTCCCACTCAGCTGTAATGGTGAGACACATAAATTGGCTTTCTCTTGAGACGTCCGCACACACACACACACACACACACACACACACACAGTACAAAAACAGTGAGTCATCTCGGCCCTCCAGCAAGCTGAAACTTAGTCGGTCCTCATCTTTTCCACTTGGAGTCATTTTCACTTTAGAGCTAAAAATAAAATAAAATCACACAAATGTCACACTCACCGAGGATGTCGTCAAACGTGGCACGTTCATGGTCCTTTAAATGGAAGGTTGAAGCAGAATTAGTGTTTATTTTAAGCGATACCCTTCAAATCAATCAAATCAAATTAAATGACACCACTTTGGATCATTTACAGCCAGAGGTCAGATTGGATTTACACATTCAGATTTTTACTCATTCACAATTACAGTACGTGATCTTTTTGAATAAGTTGATTAACAAGGTATGCAAGTCAAAACCAACAATTATAGTACCCAGTATAGTACCAGACTCGGCTGACCTGGATATTGTTTAAAACATGTAATACTTTATATAATACTGTTCAATATGTATTTGTATTGTATTTGATCACAAACCAAAGTATTGGACAAATTGAAATGTTGACCTGCAATTGGCTCTAGATGAGCAGGTAGAAGATTATCAAATTTATTACAATTCATCCTGAGGGGAACATGAACGTACCAACCAGGGCGATCAAACTAGTATCTGTTGAAACTTCTTAAAAAGGGGGGTTATTCTTGGGATTCATCATCCAAGACATGTCATTACCATTTTAGCATGGCTATAAAGGTTTGAATAACTGCCAAGACAATTATTATAATAATATAATAATCCTATTATGTATTTGGCAAAGCTCAAGAGGATTTTGCATCTCAATTAAAATGTTACGTTCTGTGTTTCTCTTTCCTGGAGAGAAAATACCAGCAACAGACCGTCTTTAATTCCATCTGAGCAGACAAAGAACAAGGTGCCACTTAGGAGACCATTAAAGCCAACAAGTCGCATATATCTTTAGAGAGACACCCTCTCACGAGAGGGACTGAACAGTTCCTCACTAAGACGAAAATGAAACCTGCCAACTGCACTGAATGACTCCATCACTCGCTGGGCCAACGCAGATCTTTGCTTAAGATCTTCAATATGGCAAAACCACTTGCCGTGGGTAATGGTTGCAGTTGTCCATGGTTGCAGTAGTTTCAGCTTTTCAAATATCTTTAATTTCACCAAATGTATTCAAATAAAAACAGCCTGGTGCCGCATGGTTACTGATGTCAGAATATCATGTTGTATCTTAAGACTAAATGAATCAATACAGCCGAACGGGCTGCTACTCACATAAAGAATGGGGATGATGGAGGGGTCGTCCCTACGAATGATGTTAGGGACATATTCAGCCTTTGGAACCTTGGAGGAAACTAGCTGTGGAAAATAGGACACAGACGCAGAAAAACGGGACGGATGCATTTCGGTCGGCTTAGAAAACAAATTAGAAAATCGATTGTTGAGATGCGCACCATGATTTTAGGTGGGATGAAGTCCTCTGCTTCACAAGCGACCCTCTCCATCTCCCTCTCATCATCCCAGTCGGCATCCTCATCAGGCCCTTCATCTAGAGTCCCTGAGGAGCTCTGAAGCTCGCCACCTGGCACACACACACACACACACACACACACAGGAACAAAGGGCGAGATGAAAGGATTACACACAAACAAGATTAGAGAGCAGCATGCTCCATTTTAAAAGAGCTGCACCTGTTATTTTTTAAACATTTTTTGGGCCCAGAGCGGGAGGAAGAGAGGAGGACGCTCTGCTGATGCATCCAGGCGACTACGGCACACACGGCAACAGGCGGATGGACAACCAGGTGGAAAGATGAGGTTGGATGGCGAAGCGATAAGAGTGGAGACATTCAGAAGAACTGTAGCCACACAATCACAGAATCAGCAACAGAGTGTGCGGCCGCGGTGGCATCGTCTTGTTTGGAACGATGGGAACTGACTGAGACGATGCGTTACTACTTACCCATTGCATTAGCATTTCATTTTACTTTATTTTATTACTTGTGCACTGCTGTCTTGTTGTCTATTGTCACACTGTCCACTGTCGCGCACCAACCGCCAAGACAAATTCCTTGTATGTTTGACATATTTTGGTAATAAAGGTTTCCTGATTCCTGATACGTGTCAGCCTTAATAAGAGCTGGTCAAATGCTGGAAAATGCCAAGGAGAGGCGCTTGGAACGGTACTTTGGTTCCTTCCTTAATTTCTTTTAGCGTATCCTATACCAAAGTAAAAGGGGACTATGGCGCCCCACAATTCTTTGCTAATGCGTGACAGCGACATTTAAAGCGAAGCACCAATCGTACAGATTGTCGCTGCTGATTTTGTACAGGTGATGTGTACAGTTGCATTCTAAAGTTGCAATTGTCTTTTCCTGAGTCCTTATGAACTCTGCACCACTTTTCCTTGACGTCTTTCCTTCGACGTCAAGGAGAAGTGGTTGATGAAAAGACAGTCATTTCTGTATGTTGTGCGGCATTTTGTTGTTGGTGTGTGCGTGAGGGGTGGAGAGCGTGCCACTCACTGTCTCTGGAGTCATGCATTGAGTCGGGCTTGACGGGTGTCGGGTCACTCCACGAGCGGCTGAAGCTCTTGGCCCGGCGGTCGGCAAAGGCTGATGGAGTCGGTAGGAGGGGGAGGGTGGGGGGGCAAATGCGTCATTCTACAGCACACGCACACACACTCCAAACCCCAGAAATCACAGTTCCATCTAGTTGCCCCATTGTGTGTAGCAGCCCCTGCTAATGTTTGTATTGTGGTAATTCAATATTACTGTTATTAATAGTACTTGTATGGAGCTGATTTGGCAATAATGTTGCTGTTATTTAGAGGTGAACAGCAGGGGGTGTGGCCACATGGCGTCATCACTGGGTGTGGTTACAGGTGCCTCGGAATAAATACCTGACTTGTGACAAGTGCAAGTTGTGATTATTCACTCGATTTAGAAAATAAACTTTGGATAGATCGAGAGAACATTTGTGAGGTAAAATGTATCTCTGTAGATTCATGCTTGTTTTCATAGATTCATAACGGTTTCCATTGACCAAACAGTAACAAGTGATGGATCTACGAGTTTTACAAAGTTTCCTCAATCCTTTGGTTGGGATGTCTTACCCTTTACCACCAAACATATGAGCCACTCAAATGCTTCAAAAGGTTCACTCAACGTTGTAAGTGTCACATACAAAAATCTGATGAATCTTGCTCAAAATGTTTTATTTTTTAAACTTTTGTTGATAAACATTTGATGGAAATATTACACAGCAAACACTTGACTCACATGACGGATCAGCTGTTTAGCTGTCAGTGTCTTTCTGGTTTTATATTGATATCTGCCATGCATTGTAAACAAATATGCAGACGGTCTCTTGCACCGTTGAAGTTTCCAGCACAGACTCAATGTCATCAAAACAACACAATTCATTAGTTAGTTAATTGTGGCAAGACTCAAGACATACACAACAACCAAACACTTCAGTAAAGACTGACCAAATCACCTTCAAGGGGGATTTTAAGGAATAAAGTTCAGCTGGTCTGATTCACAAACACACTCCGACGTGCACAGCACCGCTGCTCCATGCATGAAGCACAAATAAATCCCAAAGTTATCGCTCACACTGTTGAGCATGAATGTATGGAAATGCTCTGACATTAGCACACTGTACATACAGTACATGTACGCTGACTGACAGCAATACTTACTCTGGACCTTCATCCTGCGGCTGCCCACCATCCTGAGGTGCTTGCGGAAATTTCTACCAAATTAAAGAAAGAGAAGACAAAGAAATCAAGAATGACAAACATAAGTCAAGACTTCTTATAATTTACTGTCCCAGATGAAAAGAACTGGTCCCAAAACCAGCTCCAAGTCTCTAGTACCAGATGCTAATGCATTAGCAGGCATTATGCTAAAACCTACCTCAAAGATCCTCTTGTAGTAAAAAGTATCTATTTTTTCTAAAATAATAAATACATTGCAGTACCTTAATAATCTTCTTAAACAAAACATAATTAATCTGCTGTGAATTAAAGTTGTATTATTATTATTTTATTATTTATTCTTACATAAAAACATCTCTATTTCGGGATCCAAACAATGAGAAATATTTTGCTCAACTTAACTTTAAAGTTGTTATTTTTGTCCACTTAATGTATATGTTTACATAAAAATGTCAAATGTATAAAATAACACATTCATATTTTGCTTTTACTATACAAAACAAGCAACATTTTCAGCTACCTGGAAAAAAATAAGATGCAACTTGAGAAACAGATTAAATATTATTTTAAATGACCAGGCAGGTGGAATCATATATTTCATCCAGATGGGCTTGAATTTGATTGGTTTCCTTAAACCCAAAGACTAAAGACATGAAACAGTTTTATATCATTTCTTATTTCTAGTGCATGCAAAGCAGATTATTTGGGACCCGAGACAGGACCCTGAGGCACACCACAGGAAAGAGCAGCAGTTTTAGTGATGTGGGGACCAAGTGACACAGAAAGAACTACAATCACAGAGAAAGTCTCCCCAGGCTTTTGCCTTTCTGTGAGGACGCTCTGATCTACAGTATCAAAGGCTGCTCTAAGATCCAATAGCACCAAAAGACAACATTCACCCACATCAGAAGAAAGCATTACGTCTTTGGAGACTGAGACCAGCAGTTACCACGGAAGTCTTCTAGCGGAAACCAGGTTGGAGCTGATCTAAAATGTTTTGTGCAGTGAAGACAGGAGAGAGCTGCTTGGCAACAGCCCTCTCCTAAAGGTTGAGATAAGATGCAGCTTAGATATGTATATACCGGTTTAAAATCATCATGTTTTTATTTAAAGCTACCAGATACCCAAATTCTATTAGACGTTTGTGTGAAGATGCCAACATGAGCAGATGAATCCTTGAGTTATATCCAAGTCTTTGACCAACAGTTCAGTTCGTTTTATCCAGATGGACAGCTGGCCAAGTTCACGAGAATAGACAACAAGACAGAAGGCCAACTCGAATAAATGATGCCAGCTTGTTAATGGACAGAGAAACAAACAATGGCCTACTTTGCTAATAAAAAATACATTCATCAGGACAAATTTGAGCTGCTTCTCTAACATTGTAAAAGACCTTGTCACAAAGACGCCATCGGACCCAATTAGACAGGAGTTGTTGAGTTTGAAGGCTAGATTAACTTAACCATTTTAAAAATTATATTGTGAAAAAAAGCAGTGAGAAACTGATGAGGTCCATCCACAAACCCCACAGCTCATTATTTTTAATTGGCCCCACCTGTAGTCAGTGATTACAAGCTTTGCCCATCCAGTCACCGTAGATTGTCCCACTTTCAAAGGACAACATGACAGAGAGCCGATACCAAACTGACGACAGTGCTGAAATCCAAACGGCCGCAAGGTCCATCAAAGTGTCACCGAAGAAAACGCAGAGCACACACCCTCCCACGTGTGTTTTCGCCAGCTATTTTGTATCCTTAGTTCAGTTTCGTTGGCCAACAACGTTGCGATGTCGGTGTTTATTTCAGGAGTCGGGAGGGCCTGAAATAGCGGGATGACTCAGAGGAGAGGGGGATCTATGAACCGGTCGGCGTTATTGTTTCGGACTTACAACAGCTTTTATAATCACTAACACCCGCACATCGAGACTGCTGAGTCAAATCCAAGCCGGTGAGTGTGTGTCTGTGTGCAGCTATCGAACCCTCTCAATCCGGCTGTGACCTTTTTCCAACGCGCGCACGCACACACACACACACAAACATCACATGGCATGTCTAAGCTTTGGTGGATGTGAGGTTGTTTGCCAATTATTGATTGATTTGTAGTGCAGTGCACACGGAGCAGTGGGCTATACACCTCTGTGTTGATAGAGCCCACTTTGACGCTTCAGTGTTCCGTTAGGAGCGCTGGTCAAGTACAACAGCGCTCCTAGATGAGATGAGAAAGGACTTGAGGAAAAAAAGCTGCCTTTGGCATAACAACGCTTCACTTTTAATCAGAATCAAAGTTTAATTTATGAGTGTTGGCTCTGCTAGCTTCAGGAATGAGAAAGTTAGTGTTTATTTTAGCAAAAATGTCAATCCTGCCCCGGGGGTAATCAGTGCAGGGTTCCACCGGGCAGGTGATCTCACCAGGTCCAGCTCTCCACTCTGCTCAATTTAAAATACGATCCTGGTCTATTTCTGTATTTCAATAAACTTTTCTTCCACCGATACAAATGGAAGTAGAATCCTCTTACCTCCGTTGGCCGCGGTACTTATGACAGGGGCAAAAAAAAGGTGCTGTTATTCAAAGTCTCTGCCGTGAGAATGAGGTCAGGTGACTGGACGGTAATACAAACGCAGCACTTTTACGTTTGTTTCATTCAACAACATTTGGTTTCACATTCACAATGTCGTAGGTTCAGACGGTCAGACGTCTTTATTAAGACAGGAACATTGACCGGGCGTCCATAAAGCAGAGACACCGCTGCACATTTGTTCGGATCCAATACCCTGACCAACCTGCGATACTGCCCCTCACTACTCAAGGTCCATTCCCAACCTTGTCAAAGGCAGCTACAAAGGGCGGGTCTCGTCAAAAAATTCAGACTGATAACAACATTCAAAGTGGGTGCAATAAATCAGTTAAATCAATTATATAGTTAAGAATTATTGTTGGAAAACACTTGACAACAAAAGTCCAACAATTAGAACAAACTGTGGTCCATCTCCTCTCATGGTTTCCCATCAGACTCTCATACATACGATGGCTGGTTTGACCATTAAACAGGTATCACCTTTCATTCTGTGTGGTATAAAAAAGGTCTTAGAAACGCCTCCATCAGCAGATTTTGTTCAGTTGTCATGGTGACGGCTCATGGAGAGGTGGCTGAGATTACTTTGTAAAAGCTAAGAATTACCTATACTGTAGCAAATTGGGTATTTTCAACATAGTGAACATTACTACAGCATCTATCAGCATGACAATACTGCCATTGCTGCAAGAGTTTCAAATTAAAAGACTACCAAGCAACAGGAGGTGGTAATAACCAGCTGTTCTGCTGTGTTGTCTTTCACTGTCGGAAGTTTCACAAGAACATAAAGAAAGTATAAGGGTTGGTTCTGTACGAACAGATCAACCAAACGGGCTGTTGAGATCAAAGATATTGTTAGATCTGATATGAGACTTGGTTATTCCTTTTTACTGCGTCACGTAGAGGGTTTAGCACCACACAGAACAGGACAGCCAGGACACGGTACCTCTCCATCATGGTGGCTGCCTCTTGCTCTCTTTTCCGCCTCTTTCTCTCAGCAATGCCTCGGAAAGCCCTGCCAAGACGTTAAAGCGTTAAGTGAATTTTGTTGGGGATTGAAACTTTACAGTTTGTTTCAGCTGCGACCTTTTGTATTTGTCGGAACCCAAAACTGACCCATGGGTTAAAAACCCTGCAGAATTGATTTGGCTAGGGCATTGTTTATTGTGTTGGTTTTGAGATACAGTTTCTTTAAAGAAGTGCCGAAGAATTGACCAGATTTAAGCCCTTTGGGTCCAGTTGGGTTCGGGCATGAATATAAAGTTCCATTTAAGGTTGCGGTGGCTCGGGCAACAACAGAGGGGTTGAAAGGTGAGGAGGTTTGAGTCCATAAAGGGTTAGTGGGGGGTTTAGAATGGTTAGAGTTAGAACTACAGGGATGTTGTATCCCCCAGAGGCAGATAACATGTGGATATTCTCACACACACACACACACACACACACTAGGACCACCATGCAAGATAGGGATCCACAGGAAAAAACACTGAGGAGTAACCAAGAAACCAAGCCTGCCTATCCAATGTCAATTAACTAAATAATTAAAATGAGAAGCCAACCTACTCTTAGACGACACATAAACCCTTCTCTTAAATATGTGCCCGTCTTGGAGTCTCGTTACGTCTCATTCTGTCAGTGTTTAAGCAGGTCAGCCTTGGGGCGCCTTTCCCAGCAATGACTGACAGGAGTCGTCCGTGATGACGCATGTCAGAAATGAAGACCCTGTATGCAGCACGCTCGTGACTGACAGCAGACAGACAGTTGATGAGCTGTTGGAACGAGAAACAATGGGCCCAAGTCACTGCAGTCTGTGCAGTGCTTATTCTCCCTTAGCGTATGCACTGCTGGTGCAGTTGGTTTTCATCCCCACCTCCCAATCCCTGAAGAAGAGGAACATGTTGGAGTCTTCTTTCAACCTGTCGCTACTTTCGCCATCTGCCGCTATTAGAAACCAAGGCCATCAACAAGCAAATAGAATAAAGAAATAAAAACACGTTGCAGTGGGCTGGTTAACCTTTCGTTGAGGCCTTGTTGGTTTTTGTTGACCTCGTTGGTTCGTGGCAATCATTTCTCAGTTTTTCTTATGGGGATTCTTTGTGAGGTTTTTGTTCTTTAAAAGTTTTCATATTTTGGTATACGTTTAAAAGAAAGTAAGATATTGCATAGTGATATGAAGATTAAGTATAAGACACAGATAACCAGCATTAAATATATTAATACCTCTCGAAAACCTCTCCAAGTTAGCAACATAACTGCTGCTCCAATTCCATTACATTCAGTCAGTGTATTTTGCAGAAACACTCATTGGCTTATCATAAATAGTACAGACATCGACATTTGCAGAACCAACCAGATGTCGATGAGCAGTTTTAAACAATCAGCCAGAACTTTTGTCAGTTTGCTGGTGACGGCTTACTAAAGCCCTTCATCCATGCACCGATCCACTGAGTCGCATACATATCTAGTGAAATGATATAGTCACCGTCGCGTCTAGTCTGTCTTTAGTCCAACTTGAGGGGACGAAGGAGAAACGTCAACGGCAGTGGAGCGTACAGCAGATCCCAGGTCAGCAGTTAGTTCGGCTCTTTGGTTGAATTTTCGTTATCTTCCCCCGTGTGAGTAGATCCTACACGACGCACCTTTATGCGGCTTTCACCATTCAATACTCTAACTGAGTCACTTATTTGTGCCTCCACTGCTCTTTGCTTAACTGTTGACTGACTCTATACCTTTAAACACTCTGCCCTGCAGACACTGAGGTCAGGAGAGGTTCGGAGGGGGGGCACAGGCAGCTTAATAGCACAAAGCGACATACGGGCTGGAGATTGATACCCCAACCAACAGAGTGAGGGAATAAAAAGAAAGAGGGGGAGTGACAAGGAAGAGCAGTGGGTGACGGTTGAAAGGTTACTCACGATATTCTACGGTGGTGGTTTGGAAAGCCGCCATGTGGAGATGAGAGGAAGAAGAGAAGAGGAGACAAAATGAAAGAGAAGTCAGCAACAAGGCACAGACATGTCACAAAACTCACCTCAGACGGCAACAAAAGAGCTTTTCTATCAACCCAAAACATCCTCAAGCAAGGCCGGAATGACAGTCAGTCTAATGGTGAGGAACAGCACCAGACGGATGGTAATAATGCACCTATTTCTCTGATCAGAATGTGGGTAAGCCCACAGACAAATAGTTCAATCCATTCCACACTAAATGTGTAATTAATCTAACTGCATCTCACCTATTATATTAGAGGGGAGAGATACTGAGAGACCAGTGGTTTTAATCAAAGCCCGGGGTCGGGCCCATGTATCAGGCCGACCCCGGTGGGGATGGACGGACACAGATGGGAAAAAAGGGAGGAGAGAGCCACTGACATGTGGGGGAGGGAAGCGTGGGAGAGACGAGGGGGGAAACATCACACAGGATGAGCTTTGTCTTGTTGAGGACCATAATTATAAGATCTGGAGGAGAGGTGATAATTAGCTAGTCAGGAGGAATGGAGGGTGTGTGTGTGTGTGTGTGTGTGTCGGTGTATGCTTGACGTCCGCACATTCTCTACTTTTTAAATGTCCGAGATAGTTGACGCGTTTAGTGTTTTTGTTTGGAGGCTAAAGAACTGGTCACAGCAACGTTTGACACCGCGTGATTTTGTGAAGAGAGACTAAAGAATGAAGACATCCCCCCCACCGTTCAGTCATCGGTGTTGAGTACATTTTGTGAGCATAATCTCAGATACATTTGTACACTTTGTACATACAGACAGCGTGTATCCTTCTGCTAGCTTCAGACCGTTCTGCTATTTTAGCATGAGCTGATTTGACAATAGTGATGCGACTGTTATGGAAAGTGAAGAGATGAAATTGTGATACTAATCCCTAAGAATGTCCTTGCAAATGGACCACTTTCATCTCTATCTTTATCGGGAAAACACTGTTACCTATGCCAGCACTGCTGTCGTCTTTTAGCGCTGTTAGCATCTTAGCTTCAACAGCGGGTTTAATTTGCACCATGTAGGTAATTGAGATGCTTTATTTTAAAACCACAATTTTGGAAGTCAACTCAGAGATGAACATACAAGTGGACTAACAAGTTGTTAAAGCTTCATATATTTGTGAAACCAACAATAAATGTGTGAAGACTCATTAAATGTTTGTAGTAGAACACTGTATCTTGGAAGGAAAAGGACGAGCCAGATCCTGCCAACGTTGTGGTGGTACTTTGAGACACTGTGATGTACAAGCGTGGGAGTGAAGGCGGTATTCCATGCCATACTCACGCCTGCATGGTGGTGGTGGCTGTCTGAAAGCTGAACATATTCTCTTTGGGGAACCAGCTATTAGGATTGTCCTCTGCAAACAGAGAACACAAAGGAGGGGCGTGGTATGAGCGAGGAGGGCGTTACAATTAGAGGGGTAGGATGGTGTGGAGTGAAACATCTGAGGTTGAATGGTCCCAAAAAAGACCTTGTTTGATTCTTTCTCTCTTGTAATATTTAGCGTAGGTGTCGTTTTTTAAAGCTTTGACTTTACAGATTGCACGCATTGTCTTTCTTTACCCCTATCATCGGTCGACGCTCTGTCCTCGCTGTACATCCTCTCCAGTTTCTTGCGGGGTTTCCCCCCATCCTGCGGTGAGGGGTCCAGGTCCAAGGAGCGCTGGCTTGTACACGGCGCCCGAATGCAGGCCACACAATTGGGCGTGTTGTCCTCGCGCGAAGCCCCTCTCCTCATCCCCCAGTTCTGGATGTTGCCGGCGCTACCCGAGCTCTGCAGCGGCTGCGGCGGCAGGCCTCCGTGATGCTGGTGGCCATGGTGATGGTGGCCGTGGTGATGGCTGCCACGGTGATGGCTGCCGCGGGCGGCGGACGGCTGGCTGGTGCAGGACGGGTCTTGGTCGGCCGGCGCCTGGGTCGGAGGCTGCTCCCTGGGACCCTTCAACACCTCCAGCTCCACACTCTCCTCGCTGCCTCGGCCCCCCAGGGTCATCCCTCCTTCCCTGGTGATGGTGTACACCCGGGCTGGCTTCACCGGCGCACTCTCCCCTGGACCTCGGGCCCTCGGCGGGTCCTCCGTGGAGTGGCTGCGCCCAGCCGAGAGCCGACGTTTGGAGGGGCACAAGGGCGCTTGTTGTTTTTTCCCCTGAGGCTGAGAATGTGGAGCAGCACCGGTATCGGACGGGCTGGACTGGTTGGGTTTAGCTATGGGTAGGCAGCGGATCTGTGATGCCAGATTGTTATTATGCAGGCGGCTGACGGCCGGGGAGTCGCAGTCCTGGTTGGGGAAAGTGTCAGATAATAATTGATCTGCAGGTAGAAAACAGAAAAAGAAGAAGATGCAGACAAAGGTTCATATGTGTAATTTATACTGTTTAACACCTCAATACAAATGAACAGAGAGAGATTGTTTGTCTGGGATTCAGAGCTTTCGCAGGAGAGGGGTAAATATTAGCGAGCCAGTAATGCTTTTAGGGGGCTTGGAAGGGACGGGCAGGTGAGAAATCATGAAAGATTTTGAGATGGATAAAGTCGAGAAATAAAAAGCCCTCCTGCCCGTAGGTTTTATTGTGAATAAATGCTTCTCCTCACGGACTGAGCTGCTGCGGTGTACATGCAAGTGACAAAAGCGGCGTCAGCAGAGTTCATCCTTGTGCATCCCTGTGCAAAACAGGTGTCGTTCGAGGCGTTGTAAGATAGTGGCAGCTCGCGGTGCCAGTTGGTAAACTACTGCAGCACGAGAGCTCACTTACACACACAATCTTACAACCAGCAGGTGAAAGGTCAACTTCACACCGGCTAAATAAGGTGCCGGCCCCACGTTGAAACAAACAGACGGTTCGACAGAAATACATTGTAGTCAAAGTCCACTAAGGGGGAAGGATGTTGTGGGTCGAACGCAGGTGACTGCTGTTCATGTTACTCGTGAAAGTCAATGATGACTTTTCTTAAAGTTCCTGCAGGCTACATACCGGATATTATGTTATTGACCAAACATTCAACCCAAATGAATATCTTGTCTTTCCTAAATATAACCAAGTAGTTTTGTTACCGATGTCTTAACTGTTTTCCCGGTGACATCACGGAAATATGCATTACTTGCCGATATGAAATGCTTCGGTGTTTAAATGGGTGCGAATGGTTAGAGAGTCCTGATGGCAAGTGGCTCCTGTCATCAGTGTATGAATGTGTTGAATGGGTGAATGACAACATGTAGTGTATAAATATAAATGAATTCTATATCGTACTTATTATACATTACTACATTGATATTTGCATTTCAGTTTTTTTAATCATTGCACAGCTGCTGTGTGGCTGAGTGGGGAGCATGGTCGTCGATCCCGGGCCCGGCTGACCTGCATGTCGATGTCACACCCGAGAACACTACAGTGTGTGAATGTTACTGACGGGTGTGAGTGGGTGAAAACGCTTTCAGTGGTCGGCAGACTACCACAGATACAGTATATAGATTTATATATATTATGTATATCGCATATCTAAAGATTGTTTCCCCACCAACCCTGTTTTCTTGGATGGTATTTACTCAAATAGTTACCCAGAAATAGGCAGAAACCGGCTGGTTTCGGTGTTGAGTGTTGGGTGCTCAGCTAACCATCTGAATGGATGACCTACCTGCTCCGTTGCGGTTCTCTGGATTGGTGCTGGACAGGTATTCTCCAAAAGCTCGGGCTGCTCTGTAAAGACAAAACAAGTGCACCAGTTAACCCGCCAGCCACACGTAAGCCTTCTGTCCTGGAAGGCTCTCTGTGGGCGGCCGTCATCACGCGCTCCCAGCGACGCCGTGTTCCTGAGCACTGGGAGACAGCTGGGAGGCTCCAGCCTGCCTTGCAGCTGATGGGCCCCATAGGGGACTGTGACTCTGCATGTGCCAGCCATTAAATAAACTGGGAATAAACTCAGGACGCATATACACGTGATAAAAAGCATATATATTGGCACGACGATGAGGACCTGGCATGCAGTACAGAGAAGCTATATATATATATATATATATATATATATTGATGAATCCATTTTGAAACATAATGAGACGAGTATTTGGTCTAATGGCTCACAGTCTGTCTGCACCAGTGCCATCGGGCTTTGGCAAAATTACCCCTTTTTTTATAGATCACAAGAGGTTTAATGGGTGTTTTGTCCAAAGCAAAATTGCAGCGTCTGCACTGACGGGGTCTTGGGTTAGTTGAGGTGAAGCCCGAACAGAAAATAAAATACACGGAGAGACGGGGTTTCGATGTTCCATTTATGAAAGGAAGAGATAGCTGAGATTTAAATCAGGTGAGGCCACACCTGAAAGATTATTATTAATATTAATGATAAACGAATGAATGATGATGACAGTATGTGATGATATGTCTTCTGACTCTACATTGAGACTTCTAATCGATGGCCGACTCTCTTCAGCAGCAGCGTGATAAACCCCCCCACACACCCCTGGAGTCCGGGCGTGGTGGTGGTGGCGTTGGCTGATGATGAGGTGATGAAGCTGATGAATTAGCAGCATGAACGTACTGAAGGATGAGAGTCCTGATTGACAGCTCCGATCAATGGCCGCAGGAATTAATGGGTGTGGAGTGATAGGCAGACGTAAGAATGAAACTACAGCCTAAGACATGAGAGAGAATGGGCTTCATTAGCCTCCTAAAGCCACGAGGAAGCCAACTGCTTTTTGTTCAATAATATATTTTCCAAGAAATAATTGCGATAAACTATATTAAAGTTGTTTCGAATAAAATGTTATTAACTTGAAACAATAGAACAATAATAAACAAAAAGCAATGCATTGTTGAACTTAAGAATATTCAGACATTGGAATCTAAAAAAAACATGAAATCACCGATATAATTCAGATGAATTAAATCAAACCACACATCTGGCTCATTTCATTTTAATGACCTCCGTGGGCTTACGGACGAAATGTTTCCTCCCCATCGCCCCCCACATGGTCATTAAAGCAGACGGTGAAACGTGTCTCAGCTTGGTCCTTACTGGTCACTCTGTGCTGTGTAAAATCTCACAATGTTAGCCAGAGCCCTTTTGGCTTCCACCATCTGAATGGACGACATTCACACCGAAGTCTTCGTCCATAAGCAGAATGCCGTAGAAGGTTTACCTCTCCTTTGAAAAGTAGAACAATGACTCACAATAGCTGCGGTTTCATTATTCTCTCCTTTATATTTTTGGGACAAAAGCTAAGGAGCATTCGACCCACGGTCCGACTAATCCTGACTGCAGTCCGCTCAACCGTCTTCCTTGAGTGCGTCACATCTTCTTTCATAGTGAGGCACAGACTTCTAACCCACATGCTTGTAACGATAAACAATAAATATTCCATAGGGGGTAAAAGCAGACCAAATTCATAGTGTGCATCGCTGCTTTAAACAATCACTATCACAAGGTAAGGCAAGCAACCGGATGAGAATCATTCATTTCCCCGTTATGTGGTGTATAGTCAGTGGCTGCACATTTTTTCAGGTAAATATTATAAATTGAATGTATTAATTGGTTCAAACAACGTTTCCCAGTATTTTAGGTCAAGTCCAGGGGAGTAGGGTTATTGAGGTCGGGTTAGCTATGCAGAAGATGTCAGAATGGGAGCATTTTGATTGTCTCTCAACGTCGTTGAGAACGTTGGGGGAAGTTGCTGTCTTTCCAAGTACAAAGGTCCATTTGGAGAGCTCATTTTATTGCACCAGGGTCCAACAACCTGCTCCGAGCAGTTCCGGTTCTGGTTCTTCAGTGCCTCCCTTCCCTTCAGCGGCCCTAGTGATCCGGCCTGGGCCTCCAGCATCATTAGTCCAGTAAGCGGGATCTGGGTCAGTGCGCAGCGTGCTGGTTGCCGCCAGAGTACCGCCCCCCCCCCCTCCGATCCTGAAGCTTCATCGCGGGGCCTCCTGGTCCTTTTTAAACGCATTCATTTAGAAGTCTCGGAAGGTTTTTACCACGTTGAATTATACATCACAGCTGGACTCTGCTGAGCTGTGGCGCTTTTGCCTTGTCTCGCCGCGGCGCTCGACGCAGGCGTGTTTTATCCGGGCGCATTGTTTTCAGACATGTGAGTTGAGGAGGGGGGTGGTAGGTGGGGGAGAGAAGAAATAACACGATGACATGAGGGAGATGTGTACGTCAGACCGAAAGTGAGGGAGAGGGAAGTGGGATGAGGAAGGGAGGCATAATAAGTAAGAAGAAAGACCATTAAATAAGCACTTAAAGAAGACATATGGTCCACAGACTACATGACATCACGTGCCAGGCATCTTCTCCCTCTACGTGTGAGGGATGGTGGAGACGCCTGGGGGACACATTCCCGTCTCCGCGGGAATAGAGGAGTCCTCCGCCAGTTGGACTGAGTGCCTTCACTTTTGTCAACGTGTCCCTTATGTTTCCAGCGAGTCGGCCGCGGTGGGAACCAATACATGCCAAGTACAGCGTGAATACGCGGTCGCCTCGAGAAGGAAGAATAAATACATGGTTACTAGAGTAAATGCACGGTTACGCAATATCTACACTGTAGTTAACGCCCTGAAGGTGAATGAGACTTGGATTACACGGCAGGAGCGGTGTGAAAGTTTGGACGGGCTATTTGGTGCTTCTTTTCCAAACCGTTTTAAGGTGAGACGCAGACGGTAAAGAGCCATCGTGTACAGAAAGGGGAGGTATCGGGTTAAGGCCTGTCACTAAATCATTTTCAGTTCGCGTCAATGCAATCGGCCCTTGTGAAACATGAAACATGTCGGTTGCAGAGAGCAAATAGCACTTAGCTAGTTAGCATTAGCTGCTAACTGCCAAACGGCAGCTAATTGACTAACATAGCGATAAATTCAAGGACTTGGCAAAGGTAGTTTATAACCTTGTCCTGATGTGTTTTAATTGGAATGCTGTTATTTGAATATTTTCACAGAAACACAAAATAGAAACTATAGCAGGAATCATGAATCTTTAAGTTACTAACAGCTCTAACCTGCTTAAAAGACAGCTAATCCTGCGATATGCTGTATTTCATCTAATGTTACCGACTGCTGTAACAAAACCAAAAAACAATTGTTATAGGCTGACATGCCTCCTCAAAGAAATCTTTTTTTGTAGTGGTAGCTGCAGTCAGGCAGAAACATCCATGATAGTGTACGTTCATCACACTGACGTTCTGATCATCAATAAAGAGACTAAATCAGCCTGAGTTTACGGTTAAAGTAATATACGGTAACTAATACAGTAGCGGTTTTCCTCAAACAGATGCTGTGTCATCATGCATAAGGTGCATTGACTCGCTGTGACACAAACTGCTCCATGTGTTTGGATCCTGCTGTGCCCTCCATGTTCCATCCGCTCACTGGGTGCTGATCGCTGGTACAGGCCGTAATTGGTCCGGTCAATGAGAGCACTGCACGGCCATCTTACTGCTCATATCCCTGCTTCATTAACAGGGCTGCAGGATGGCTAATGTAGTTATGTTATCAACGGAAAAAACAGACTTTGCCCTCTGGAGGAAAAGGGGAAATCAGTAAAGCGGGTTGGGGGAGGAGAAGGGAATGGATGGCTGACCAGAGGGCAAAAAAAAATATTACAAATATTGCACAGAAGAAAATCACCTCTGGCTTATCTTAACATACGTAATTGGAAAATAATATTTTTTACTCTGGCGATCAAGGTTGCAGGATGCAAAAAAAGAAGCTGTGGAAAGTGGAATTTTCGTTCGTGTTTTACAACAAAGATGAAGCAAGTGTGTAGCAGTTTGAGGGATCCATTATTCAAAAGGGATTCTATCATTCATAAGTATGTTGTTGTTATTGTATAATCACAACCTTTTGCAGCCAGAACCAACTTCCAAAAGGAATATTGTGTAGTCACCACAAACAAATATATGAATGCTTCACGTCGTTCGAAACATTAGAATCTTCAATCAGCTACAATACGTTGTATACTTATCAGTTTGAAAATACTCCAGACTTGTGGGTTTCAGCCAATCCTCACTCTCACTCTCGAGCGTCATTATACGCTCCATGCATTTTGGCTTCTCAGTGGTTGAGGAAGCTGTCGCCCATTTCCGCGTGGGTTTAGATCCAATAGGCTTATTTTTACACAACAGGAGTTTGTCTTTATCCCCCACAACAATTGTCCAGATAGACAAAGTGCTTACAGTTATAACACATTTTATCATCCTGGGCGGCCTCAGAGTGCAACAGCAAGTGAGACTTTTACTTTAGTTAGTGTTGATCCCCTTCTACTAAAATAGGGTGATAGTCGTTTTTAAGAGAATCAGCCACATTGCACTTCCATGTATCTACGGTCGGCTGAAGGAACCAACCACACACTGACTCTGGAGAGAGCCTTACGTCTTTCTACCAGTTGGCAATATCTGGCATGATGTTCATTTAGTAAATGATGGTCCATTTAGAGTCAAATAGCCCATAAAGAAGGGTATGCTTTAGAGAGTCGTTACCTTGTGGCTCCAAGGTCATGGAGTCGAGTGGTTCTGGTGGTTTCACATCACTCGTCTGCAGTCAGTAATAAGAAAGACCGGGAGGCTTTAAACTGCAGCAACATCACAACCATTACATCCACTACTAATACACCGTCTATTGTGTTCACCTGAACAGGGTCTGCGACCACCGAAGAAGAGATCACGAAATCCTACACACTGTCCGATCAAGAGCTTTATTTACCCAAAATGACG